ACATATTTTCAACACAAATACAACTTATATGATTCATATTCAACATAAAACATCACATGCAACCACTACACATTAAAATTCATCAATCACTACTCATAGCACCTTCAAGAAAATCACAACTCAACCAACTTATCACACCATTTGAATTCAATCAAAGGCAACCAACAAATCATGAATTCTAACATTAGTTTAACAACACAACTCAACAACCATCAATCACAAACTTCCCTTATCTTGAATCACCCAAAATTCAAGGAAAGGAGAAGAAAACTTAAAGTCTCTCTAGAGTCACCATATGAATTTCTCAAACTCGGATTCTCGACTCCAAAAGCTTTGAATCTGCAACTCCTCCACCCAAATCAGCTAGTAGGAAGGATTAGAGGCTTTAAGGAATTTAGAAGAAGAAACTCTCCTAGCTCTAGAGTTCCTTTTTCTAGCTTATCTCTACTTAAAAATTGAATTTACGATATTCATGTCTTAAGAAAAAATTTATATACTCTCTCTTAAGCTAGACCAACTTAATTCTAACTAAACTACCTTAGTCAATTTAACTCTCAAGAATTCTTTAACCTCTACAGTTCTAAAGCAACATGAATTACAATAATCCAACAATTAAGTAACATATAACATATAATTATCAATAAATTAAAACAGTATTAAATTAGAAAGTCTAACCCGCAAAATAAATGTATTTTTATTAGTCCTTATCTATTTTGCAAAACCCATAGTTTCCCTTCTTTTATGATAAGAAAACATGAGGAAACAATACAATTATATAAAAATTTAAACATCACATATTTTAAAATTATGAAAGTCTTAACATATAATAATTTACACATTTAAGCTAAAATATTAAAATATTAGCATATCAAACATACATATTTAATTTAAAACATTAAGATAGAAAAAGTACAATATCTTTTAAATTAAATATATACTAAATTCAATACTTATTATTTATACTTATTTACTAACATAGTAGTAAAATATCTATAAAAAAAACTAAAATCACTCGTATTTTAATAACTTTGATAATAAAAAATAACAAAATTAGTATTTCTCTTAAAGTAAAGAGTTATATTAGGGTTTGTAATTTAAGCTTGTTTAAATGCATGAATAAGACTTATATTTTAAGATTTTATTTTTTACAAGTTTCAAATTTTATCCCAAATATATAATTTATTTTACAAATAATTTTTTAAAAATAACTCAAAGGAAATGATGAAAAATAAGCTTTCCCAACCATGCTCAAGGTATACAATCACAAAAAGGATGGTCGAATGGTAAGTGTAAGTTTTAATTTAATGAAAGCATGAGATCATAAAACCATATATTAGGAGGATATATGTTGTAAACTTGACGATGTCAATTTTGAAAGTACGTTTATAAATAATGATAAGTAAATTCATGTTGTATCACTACGTAAGTTTGATTTTGACGTTAATGTAAGGGTTTTATTAATTGATAATAAGTAAATATTTTTGTAAGTGTTTTTTTTTTCTTTTTTTGAGTTTTTTAGATTTTCTTCAACTCTGATTGGTCTTTAGAACTTAACTAAATTTATTTGATAAAGAAAATACATTTATAATTATTACGTGAACGTGTATATATAACACAATATTGAATACTATCTATTAAGAGAAATGTTTTATTAGTGATATAGTATTTAAGTATTAAAATTTAAAATAAGTAACATAAATGTATTTTTCTTCCTTGTATTATTATCACTATAATAAAATTTATTATTTCGATAATTATTTAATAATAATAAATTAATTATCTTTATTTTATTATTTAATAAAAATTATTAATAAATAATATATAATAACTACTAAAAATATATTTATATCACATCAAAATTTATTATTAACGATAATTATTTATTAAAAAAATTAAATCTCACATCAACTAAAAATAAAAAAAATAAAAAATATATAAATAGGTGATAACTCTCACTTTACAAGTTTATTTTGTATGGTTAAATTAGACCTATAATTCACTATTTTAAATTGATATCAAATTATTCATCATTATCAAGTTTAATAATTCTAAATTTGAGAAAATTATTATGAATTATTTTTTAAACTTTTAATACTAATAACAAAAAACATTAAATATCATATAAAAAATTTTACAGTAATTTTTGTTGTTATTAAAAATTATATTAAATACTACTAAAAAATTTATTTTATTATAGTGTATATTACATTTAATTTCACCGAATGATTTTACTATTTTCTTTTTAATGAGATCTCTACTACAATTATTTTTATTTTCATTTTTTTGCCTACCTGAATTTTTATTTTTAAAGATCAAGGTTCAGTTTTATTTCGGCTATTGATATGTTGTTAGATAAATGTATATGCTATATAATATATAATATATTTTATTAATAAAAGATAGGCCCTTATTTAAGATAAGAAGAAAATGCCTAATATTAATTTTAGTAATTTAATCGGAGAGATTTTAAAAGTAAATTTTATATTTGAGGAAAAAAGTAATAATGTCCCATCATGTACTAATTAAAGGTATGGCAACGTTATAGTACCAGACAATGATGTTTTTCAAACTTAGGAAACTTCTAGTCTTCCCAATTAAATTACAACTAAAAGATTAGATGGCAGAGTAAATACTTTTGTAAAGTCAACATTCATCCCCCCAAAATGTAATTATTACGGTATGTTTGGATTTAATCATTTTTTTTTCCAAAAAAAATAAACATTGAGCAAAAACTAATATATCTGATCGAGTTTTTTACACACTAATCATGGTATAAGTTCATTTTTCACATTTTACGATGTGATATAAAATTTATTAGTGGTATTCCATAGTTTTACGAGGAGTGTATTTTCTCTTAATCAAAACTTGTATGTATAAAATAAAGTTTTATTTTAAAAAATAATCATAAATTATTTTAAATATAAAACAAGTTAACTCAATTATAGGGGTGAGCATTAAACCGACACCTGAATCGAACCTGAAAAACCCGAAAAAAAATATTGTTTTTGGGTGGGTTCGGGCGAGTCTTATGGATAAATCGGGTTAAAATTTTGATTTTATACGGGTTATATTGGGCGGGTTCGGTTTTGAATTTTTAAACCCGTTAAAAATCGAACCCAACCGAAAATGAGATAAGTTTAAATTTTTATTATTTTTGTATAACTAAACAACAATGGTCCAAATTTAAAAGTCTTTATTTCAAGTATAATATAGCCATCAATTTGTAACTTATTTTTTTCTTTTTTCTCATAACTTAGATATTTATTTTGTCTTTTCCTTCCTCATTCAACTTCTCAACACACTAGTCCATTTTTAGAGTTATCTTTTAGCTTCTTTCTTTGTCTTTCTTTTCCATCTTCTTATCTCCATTTTGAGTACATTTTGTATGACTGTGATTTCTTATGGTTTTGTAATCTAACTTTATATTTCTTTTCCATGTAACAACTATGAATTTTGTTATCTTTTATTTTTGCTTCTTTAGTTTGTAAATGTTTCAACTACGAATCTATTTACACCATCTATTGTCACCGTCATTCTATTTTTATACACTATTTTAAAAATATTTTTTATCGTTTTAAGCTTCATCTTCGTTAAGATAAATTGGTCTACAAAAAAATTCAAACCCGATTATACCCACCCGCTTAAATCCGAATCCGTTTCAACCCGAACCGCCTCAAATCGAAAGCTCAGTCGGTCGGATATGGGTCACATTTTTTCAAAGTCGGTTTACAATGGGTTGGACATTTTTCACCCGAACCCGACCAAACCCACCCGTTGCTCACCCTACTCAATTATACTGGCTCGCATATGCTTGTCAGAGTTTCGATTAATCAATAGATAAAATCTATATTTTTTTATAAAAGAAATATAGAGTTATAACTTCTTTTCTTTTTTTTAGTTTTCGTTAACTATCATGCTTCTCAAATATTAAAAAAGATATATGATATTTTATTTGAATAATTATTCCAAATCATCTATTTTATTATCTATTTTTCTTACTAGTCTATATAGTTATATATATTATATATAAAGGGATAAAATTTTTAATCACCTTTTTATTTTCATTTTTATTAAAACTAATTTACCTTTCAAAATTTTCACTCACTTATTATATTATATCTTTTTTTCTTTTATTATTTATTTTTATTTTAATAAAAAATATATAAATGCACGAACTATTTCAGTTCCAACGTATGTAAAAAAATTATGTACTTGTAATGCATAAACTGTGGATATCATTAACTCCTAACTGGGTCACCCATTTCGCCTACCAAATAGTCTATGAAAAAGCAAAACAACCACAATTTGATTACCTAAAAATAGAGGATGATTGCAGATTTTTCTTAAACTAATCATACAGATTAGATTAGTCATTGGGGTCCCTAGGCATAAATATGTAGAGTGATGATCCAATCCCTTTTGCCATTATTGGTCTTCCTTGCTTTTTATTTTTTTTTAAATTTTTTTATCTCACCACAAAGTAGATATAAGATGGCTATTAAAAATAAAACTCATAATTTTAAACTAACATTGATTTTTGCCCTGTGCTTGATACAGTGCATAGTGCCATAATTTTTGTATGTAACCTTTATAAAAGGAGAGAACATTTACTAACGGGTCTAAAGTGGGAATCGGAATCAAATTCTAGAACGGATATATCCAATGTTATTGATAACAAACTCCCGCCATGCTCATCAAAAATAAGTGTCTTCTTTTCTTGTTACTTTAAGATGTACCAACCATCTCATACGAATCATCAACGGTAAGCTCCTGAAATAAAAATATGAGTGAGCCCAAATGGCTAGCGAGTATGCTACGTAGTGTGTCCCACCATGCACGAACCCGACAACAAAATATTCATCAAACTTTCTTAAATTTCGACTTTTCTCACTCTATCATTTCGCCACATGTAAGCACTTCACACGTAAACCCCTCGCGTTTAACACGCTTGGTCCTACGCAACGGTAACCAAGCAAAAGTTTTCCTTTATATCTCAATCTATTTCCATCACTTTTCTTCACTCCACTTTGGTTCTGCCACCTCTCAAAGCTTCTTTTCTTCACTCTCTCTCTAGTTAGTTTATGTACATTTCACAACACACAACACTACTTGAAAACTCGTATACTTTCCCTCATGGAACTTCGGCTACGTGTTTGTGTCTTGTTTTTTCTCTTTAGTTTCCTATCGGGCTCACAAGCTTACACGTTCTACGTTGGTGGAAGAGATGGGTGGGTTTTGTACCCTTCTGAGAATTACAATCACTGGGCTGAAAGGACGAGGTTCCAAGTCAGTGACACTTTGGGTACGTTCGTGACTATGTTTTATATTTCATGGTTGTTCATGTCACTTGGTTGTTGTGGTTTTTGGTACTAACTAAAATTTTGGGTTTTGTTTTTTGTGTTGCTAGTTTTTAAGTACAAGAAGGGTTCGGACACAGTGTTGGAGGTGAGCAAGGAGGATTATGAGAAGTGTAACAAGAATAACCCGATCAAGAAGTTTGAGGATGGTGACTCGGAATTTGAGTTTGATCGATCGGGTCCTTTTTACTTCATCAGTGGGAAAGGTGATAACTGTGAGAAGGGTCAGAAGTTGATTATTGTGGTGTTGGCTGTGAGAGAGCCACCCCCATATTCTCCAACACCTCCAAACACTCCCTATGTTCCAATTCCACCAAAAGCTCCTTCCCATCCTCCTTATGTTCCAAAACCTCCTCCAAAAACTCCTTATCCACCTTATGTTCCAAAGCCTCCTCATACTCCTTATGTTCCAACTCCTCCTCAAACTCCTTCCCCTGTTTATAGTCCTCCCTATGTTCCTCCAAAAGCACCCTCACCTATTCATTATCCACCCTATATTCCAACACCTCCAAAAACTCCTTCTCCTACCTATAGTCCTCCCAATGTCCCTACTATTCCTCCAAAAGCTCCTGCCCCTAATAACCATCCACCCTATCTTCCTACACCTCCAAAAACACCTTCTCCTTCTTATACTCCTCCAAAAACACCTTCTCCTTATAGTCCTCCTAATGTTCCAACACCTCCCAAAACACCCTCTCCTACTTATACTCCTCCACAAGCTCCATCCCCTAGTAACCACCCACCCTATGTTCCAACACCTCCCAAAACACCCTCTCCTACTTATACTCCTCCACAAGCTCCATCCCCTAGTAACCACCCACCCTATGTTCCAACACCTCCCAAAACACCCTCTCCTACTTATACTCCTCCACAAGCTCCATCCCCTAGTAACCACCCACCCTATGTTCCAACGCCTCCCAAAACACCCTCTCCTACTCATAGTCCTCCACAAGCTCCATCCCCTAGTAGCCACCCACCCTATGTTCCAACACCTCCTAAAACACCTTCTCCTTCTTATACTCCTCCAAACACTCCCTCTCCTACTTCCCAACCTCCCTACATCCCAAAAACCCCAACCCCAACCCACCAACCACCCTTGGGTCCATCTCCATTTTCTCAACCACCCTATGTGCCAAAAACACCTTCCCCCATTTCACAACCTCCAATTTCTCAGCCCCCCAATGTGCCAAAAACTCCTTCCCCAACATCTCAACCACCCTACCCCAATGCCCCAACTCCAAAACCCAATTCCCCTATTCCCCAACCCTCATCATCTCCATCTCTGACACCTTCAGTTTCAACTCCACCCACTTACCCACCTTCTGCCCTCACTCCGGCGAATGCTCCATCGCCGCCCTCCCCGTCGCCGGCGGCCGCCACTCCTCC